TTGGAGGAAAGATGAATTTTTATGAGATCATGAAATACCCATTATAAAGGAGTGCTGCTGCTTTTTCACTCACCCTCTTTTATCGAGCTGTATTGTCTGTCTCCTTCAGTAATGCTGTTTGAATTTTTCAGTGTGCTCTTCTTGCTCTTCTCTGCCTTTTTGTTGGGTGCTTTCGCTAAGTAAGGAAATAGCATTTGAACGAGAAAAGAATCATTAATATGTGACAATAAAACGTTGACATTCAGAACTTTAAAACAACATTAGAAAGGAAAAAGTTCAAATAGAGAAAATAAAGAAGCCTTGGATGGTTCAGCCTTGCATATGTGGAGAAAGTTATTTCCTAGGCAGAGGATTGGAAAACTTCCTCCTCTCCTCACATCAGCTTGTTATTCATTAATATTCACCCCTTTACTATCATTAATTCAATGAGATGTCATTTATGAGATGACTGTCTCCTGACTTCAATTAATCACAAAATGAGGCACAATCTATCTGCATTCTACAAATGGAAGATGACAGTGAACAGTGTGTTCCATTATAAGGGAGTCTCAGGTCAGGAAAAGCCCCATATGACAACAAACTCTCTCACATCTGAAAGTCTTTATCTTCATCTCAATTCAGGGACAGGTTAAATCCTCTCCAGTGCTCTAAGCTGCAGATGTGGTTCAGCATTTATGATCGTAGAAGGTTCCGACATATGGCCAACGACACATCGGTGCACAACAGGCGACACAGCAGGAAGAGGAGATTACCGCTAGTTAAGAAGCATTCAATAAGCAATGAAAGCCAATGGAGAGAGACACACAAGGCTTTCACGCTCAGTACACATGACAATTTTACCCTTTTCCTCATGTGCATTCAAAGTTTGCACGCATAGCTGCTTCAATGTATAGAGCAATGAACACACGATTTTAATTCTTTGACATCCAAAAAGATGTTAATGCATCACTGCATATTATAAGAAACATTTCCAACTTGTTTCACCTTTTAAAACTAAAAGAATAAGTGAATGAAAACATTCGTTATGGGACATATAGTGAAGCAGGTTTGTCTGTTTAGGGTAAAAATACAGTGTTCAGCATAAAATATGTTAGCATGTATGCAAGAATGTGGACATTTCCATTAAGAACAAACTAGCTCTTGCAGGACATATAACAAGAAGTCAACTCCAGCTTCTTCATGCTACATTTGATGCTCTTTGCAGTTGTCTGATTTGTACCTCACTACTCCTGGAAGTCTATAACATCTGTGGAATTAAAAAAGAAAGATCCGTTCTTCAAAAAAACAAAACAAAAGACAAATAGATGCTGAAATGTTCCTGTAAGAATGACATGGAGAATATTTGTGTTTGCCGGTCAACAACACTGAATCAAAGTGCATCCAAGCTATCTGATCCTAGACTTGTTTTAAAGCTATTACTGCTGTGAGTTTCATGACTTTCATCTCTCTCTTGCACTCCGACCTGCGGCAGGTAAACCTACCGAAACATGTGAAGCCAGATGCCTGAAACATGACCTCACTGCCTGCACAGCTGCTCAGCCCAATCTGCCACCAAACAACAGAAACCCCTCACGCCCCCTACTGTCCTCCAATCATCTGGCTGTATTTCAAACATGCCGACAAAACCTGCCACTGCACAAACTGAGATTCCCCTCGGGTGAGGCTTGTGCTCCCCGTTTCCACATGGACCGCACTGAGACCGTATGGATTTCACATGTTCTTCACCACCTCCTCCTGACTTCTATAAAGCATGACGCTTTTAACTCTGCTGCTGTGCAGAGGCCAAACAGATATATCACTAGGATTTGTGCATGCTGAGTAGGGACTGGGAGGATACCCCAGGAAGTCATTCTGGAGCATATCTAAAAGAGTGTTTTAGATACCCTTTTGAGCACATTAATACTTTCACATTGACAAGTTCAACTGGACTCTAACTCTAAAATAATTGATCAATTTAAAGACATGATTTATCATTTTTGATAAATCATTCCATTTAAATGTAGTATTCACTTGTGATGTGATACTAATTTTACTGAAAATACTTCTTCAAACTTGTAAAAATATTAGATAGTTAACTTTAACTTTGAGAGATTTTTGCCAAAATGTGCCTAGAACTTTGGTCTTTTTACACGAGAAAATGCATTTTTTCAAAGAAATGACCACGCTTTTACCTGTTTTTGCATCATCTGTGGTTTTATCTGTCTTCTTATTGATCTCTGTCTTTCCTTTTGGTACCTTCTTGCCTGTGGTTTGTCCTGAATGATCATGTCCATCAGGTGTCAAGGAAATAGGTTTCTCCAACTCTTGCACCTGATTGTATTGATCCCTTGTCAGCAGCTCTTGCATATAGTAATCCTCATCCTCGCCAACAGAACCAAGGTTGAGATCTGCAAACCCCAGAAGGAGTCCCAGCAGGGCCAGGGGGGTGAGAAGAAGGTGCTGCTTTGTCATGGCCTGGAGGGAGGATTATCAGCAGCGAAGAGTGCCGATGCTGTTTCCAGGGCTGCCGGGCGGCGTCCCATCAACGGCTTGCCTTTCTCTCCCTTCCCACTCAAACACAGAGTTCACAAAGTTCTCAGAGCACACCAAGTCACTGACGAAAGCAGCGGAGCCAGAGGGTCCATAGACGCCTCAGTCTGGGAAAAATGCAGGAAGAGAGGGAGGAACAGAGAGCAGGAGTTGAGAGAGCAAGTAGGACGGGTGGAAGGGAGACAGGTGACTGAAAGTGTAATCTTTTATTCCTTTCCCCCTCAGAATCAAACCTCCCAGGCAGCTCACTCGGCTCATTGCATGGTCATTTGATTGGTATGTGTAGAAGTAAAGTCGGGAGTGAATCATAAAGCAACACATCCTGGATCTACTTTCATCTTCATCTCCTCCCACTTTGCCTGGGATGAGATTTGCTTACACAAAGAGTAAGGTTTCAGCTTTCCTGCAGGGCAAACAACTTTGGCACTTAAACAGTTCTGGCAGTTCCCTTAAGATAAACCAGAATGTCACATTTTGTGCTCATATATCAGCAGAAATGTATGTTTGAGTTATCAGCTTAGACCAATAAAAAAAAAATCCATTGCTGCTGCTGTTCACGCCACCTTGTTTTCTGAGATTTTCCTGTTCTG